CCTACTCTTTGATGGGAATATAGCATTGTAATGAGGTCTCCCTAAATTAATCTAAGAAACAGTGATCACAATAAAAAATCTAGGCATACTTACTCTATAATTTTTAATAGAAAAATTAGCACATAAGAATAGCCAAGAAAATTTGAAAAAGAAGAGACATAAGAAGCAGAGGTCCATCAGGCATGACATGCATTATAAAACTTTATAGTATAAACAGTTGGAATAGACTATAGATACACAGATCAAAGAAAGAGACTTGAGAATCCAGAAATAAAGTGAAAATGAATTTTTTGTGTGGTAAAGATGGCATAGGAGCTCTGGTAGCATAGTGGCTAAAGCACTTGACTGCTAACCAGAAGGTTGGCGGTTCAAACCCACCAGCCACTCCTCGGAAGGAAGGTTGGGCAATCCTACTTCCGTAGTGATACTGCCTCGGAAACCCAAGGAGGGGTCGCTATGAGTCGGGGCCAACTTGACGGCACATAACAACAACAACAAAGATGGCATTTCAAGTTAATGGGGAAAATAGTGGAGTTATATACAAAACAAACAAAAAACAGGTCACTTACATGTTGTTATAGGTGCTGTTGAGTTTGCACCAACTCACAGAGACCCTGTGGAAACAGAACAAAACACTGCCCAGTCCTGTGCCAGCCTCACAGTCCCTGCTATGCTTGAGCCCATTGTTACAGCTGCTGTGTCAGTGCCTCCCATTGAGGGTCTTTGCCTTTTTCACTGACCTTCTACCTTACTAAGCATGATATCCTTCTCTTGGTTCCTTCTGACAGCATGACCAAAGTTGGAGAGTTGAAGTCTTGCCATTCTCACTTTTAAGGAGCATTCTGGCTGTACTTCTAGGATTTGTTAATTCTTCTGGCAGTCTATGCTATTTTCAGCATTCTTTGCCAACCCCACAGTTCAAAGACATCAACTTTTCTTAAGTCTTCCTTATTCATTGTCTAGCTTTCACAAGCATATGGGTGATTAAAAATATAGTGGCTTGGGTTAGGTGCTCCTTAGTCTTCAAAGTGACATGTTTGTTCCTTAACACTTCAAAGTTGAAGTCTTGTGCAGCAGATTTACCCGGTGAAATACAGTGTCTGATTTCTTGACTGCTGCTTTCATGGATGTTGATTGTGGATCCAAGTAAAATGAAATCCTTGACAACTTCAGTCTTTTCTGCATTTATCTTGATGTTGCTTATTGGGCCAGTTGTGAAGATTTTTGTTTTCCTTATGTTGAGGTTGAGGTGTAATCCATACTGCAGACTGTAGTCTTTGATCTTTCTCAGTAAGTGCTTCAAGTCATCTTCACTTTCAGCAAGCAAGGTTGTGTCATCTGTATATCACAGGTTGTTAATGATCTTGCTCCAATCCTAATGCTGTGCTCTTTTTCATATATTCTAGCTTCTGGGTTATTTGCTCAGCATACAGACCGAATAAGTATAGGGAAAGGATACAAGCCTGATACACACCTTTCCTGATTTTAAATCATGCAGCATCCCCTTGTTCTGTTCAAACGACAGCCTCTTGCTCTATGTACATGTTCCTCATGAAGACAAGTGTTCTGGAATTCCCATTCTTTGTGATATTATTCGTAATATGTTATGATCTATACAGTTGAATGCATTTGCATAGTCAATAAAACACAAGTAAACATCTTTCTGGTATTCTTTGCTTTCAGCCAAGATTCATCTGACAGTAGCAATGATATCCTTGTTCCACATTCTTTTCTGAATCCAGCTTGAATTTGTGGCAGTTCCCAGTCAATATACTGCTGCAACCATTTTTGAATGTTCTTCAGCAAAATTTCACTTGCTTGTGATATTTATGATCTTGTTTGATAATTTCCACATTCTGTTGGATCACCTTTCTTTGGAATGGGCACCAACAGTGATCTCTTCCAGTCAGTTGGCCTGGTAGCTGTCTACCAAATTTCCTGGCATAGGTGAGTAAGTGTCTCAAGAGCTGCATCCATTTGTTGAAACATCTCAATGTGTATTTCATCAATTCCTGGAACCTTGTTTTTCACCAGTTTCTTCAGTGCAGCTTGATCTTCCTGCAGTACCACTGGTTCTTGATTATATGCTACCTCCTGAAATGATTGAATGTTGACCAGTTCTTTGTGATCCAGTGACTGTGTGTTCCCTCCAGTTTCCATTTTTTTGAGTTCTAGTAAAATTTTTTAAAAAATTTTTATTGTGATTTGGTTGAAAGTTTACAGAGCAAATTCACTTTCCATACAGCAGCTCACGTATACTTTGTCTCATGATATTGACTGTAATTTCTTACAATGTAGCAGCTCCCCTCCCACTTCTTCCCCGTAGTTACCTCTTCCCTCCCATGTACTCCTACCCCCAAGCTGTCTCCCTGTACATACACAGCCCTTCTATTCTCTCATGATTGATCTCTTCAAGAAGTATATCTACCTAATGTAAATGTTCAGCTCATATGCCTGTCTTTTGTTTGGCTGGAAGCCACAGGAGTAGGTTGAATTCCAGACCTAAAGGGCAGCTAGGGGCCATAGTCTCAGGGGTTCCAGCAGGCTCTATTGGACCAGCAAACCTGAACCCCCCCCCCCCTTTTTTTTTAAATGATTTTGAGTTTTGTTCCACATTGTTCTTCCTCTCTATCCAGGATCTCCTACATAGATCCCCCTCTGAGTGGTTGACAGTGGTAGCCGGGCACCATCTCGTTTTTCTGGCTCATAGTCATACAGGCTGAGGATCTCATGGTATACCAGTTGCTTGGACTAATTGTTTCCATGAATCTTTGGTTTTCTTTATTCTTCTTTGTTCTGGATGAGGAGAGATCCATCATTGCATCTAGATGGCTGCTTGCAAGCTTTTAAGATCCCATTTGCTACTGGCCAAAATAGGATGTGTAACAGTGTTTTTGTGAGTATATTATGCCAGTTGAGTTTGATGTCCCCTGAGACTATGGTCCTGAGCCCACAGGTCCAACTACTCACTCCATCTGGGTAGCTGACTGTGGCCAGGAAGTGACTATGACCTTGTCCATTGTCAGCTATCTATATACTTGGGAATTCTTACAGAACATACAAATACACTTGTAGACACATTGTCTGCCAACCCTGTGCATGGTCGTGGGCACACTCCCTGCTGCATAAACATATCTAATAGTTCAGCCTGTCCATCCATCTATCCACCTGTGTATCAATGTTTGCCTTCACTGACAATGCAGTACTGTATGTGCAAAAGAGTAAGACTGGTCTTTTTTATGATTTTGAGTTTTGTTGCACATTTTTCTCCCACTCAATCTAGGATCTCCTTTTCTGATTCCTTTCCAAGTGGTTGCCAGTGGTAGCCAGGCACCGTCTAGTTCTTCTGGTCTTGGGATCATGTAGGTGGAGGTTCCCTTGGACTAATTGTTTCCATGTGTCTTTGATTTTCTTCACTCTTCTTTGCTCTGGATGAGGAGAGATCAGTTTTTGCATCTTAGGTGGCCACTTGGAAGCTTTTAAGATCCCAGTTGCTACTCACCAAAGTAGGAGGAAGAGCAGTGTTCTTGTATAGTGTGTTATGGGCTTGGTGCTGTTTATAGAGAGGGTGGCTCTTTTTAAAGTTTAACAGTAGTTCATCTTTTTAGGTTTTCTGTCTCTTCCAGAATTAGTTTTATATATGTGTGTGTATGTATGTATGTGTGTATGCATCTATATGTGTGTGTGTGTCTATTATGTGTGTGTGTGAATATATACACAATACATACATACACACAAATTATCCTTTCAACAGTTTTAAAACGTATTTGTGTAGAATAGTAATAGTAGCAATTGCTACTTTCTCTGGTGATTCTTTTATTTTCCTTTGTATCGATGATGATTTCTTCCTTATCATTTTTCATTTTTACATTCTTTTTTGTTTTTATTTACTGTTTACAGATCTTTTTTTCTCTTAAGAATGAGCTTTTTAAAAATGTTATTTTTTTATTCTTTTTCTACCAAGAATATGCAATGAGTGTATTTCATAGTGAAGAACTAATTTTTATAACTTATTATCTGAATTAGCTTTGGTGGCACAGTGGTTAAAGCATTCAACTGTTTCAACCAGAAGGTTAGCAGTTTGAACCTACTAGCTGCTCCATGGGAGAAAGATGAAGCAGTCTGTTTTTGTAAAGATTTAGAGCCTTGGTAACCCTATGAGGCAATACTGTTTTGTCCTATAGGGAGAATCAACTTGATGGCAGTTGGATTATCTGAATTTATATCAAGATACAATGTATTTCTTTTTTAAAATGATGACTAACACTTGTATACTTATTTCTGCCATGTTCTATTCAGATGATGTATTTTTCTATATTTACATTGAATTTAAAAGATGACCTTGCTAAGTTTGTGGGTTAGGATCATTTGAATTTCTTTTAATATCTTTGACATCATACTAATGCAAGGGCTCAAGAAATAGTCCCATGGAGTCTTTGGAAGGACGTATTTAGCTAAGTTTTCTTACCAAATATTTATTTAAAGGTAAGATTTCTACCCCCTCACCCTAAAAGCTTATTGCATTGAATAGAGAAGATTCCATCCCATCCCCCAATGTCAAATAATAGAGAAGGATTAGTAACTTATGTTTGTATAATGTTTGGGTTTACAAAATATGCTTCTCACTTATGCATGGAAATAGACATTTGTGGAATTGATGCTTACTTTGTAAGAAAGGATTCTATGATATTGATCCTAATCTGAGAATGATAAAAACAATGGACTCTTCAAAGAAATGCACTTAAGCACACAAAAGACAATGTTACACAAAGACAAATTTACAATTATAAGGGGACCTTCAGAAGATCCATGGACTTTAGGTTGAGAACAGGTAGACTTCTGATGTCATCTTTGACAGAAAAGAGTGCTTTTTGATTTTCCAAATATAAAGAGAAACAAAATACCTCAACAGTATTTGGAAATACTTGTTTTCATTTTATATGTCTTAATTCACTTGTCCTAATAATGATCTTTGTTTTTGACTCTTGCCTCCTCTGTAGCATCTGGAGCATAAGAACAGTGCTTATATTTTTCTTTTCCAAGAGAACAGAAAAAAATAGTAAGTTTAATTTCTAAGTTTTAGTTTATATTAAAAAAATTTACCTAACAATGTGTTGACTTATGATTGAATGGCAGGTTATGAAATGGAGTATTGAAATGACAAAATAATAAATACTAGAGAGTTATTCACTGTAAAATATAAGAAGATGAATATCATGATGGTTCTATTTTTCATTTGAATTATTTCTATTGTGCTCATTTAGAATATTTTATACAAAACAGTTCATTTGTTTAACTCGAGAAATTATATTTGTTTATACTGAAAGGTATAACTAATTATTAACATGTAAATAAATTAATCTTGATAGAAAATTTATGGAGTGAAATACAGTTATACACCTTTTGATTTGTTTTATTAATTGCACCACTCTTTAACCTTACAACCCCTAGGACTTTGTTTTTATGAAATATGTAAATTATTTATAAACTATCCTGTATTTGATATCCAGAGCTACAAGTTACAGTTAATAAGGGATATATGTTTTTTTTTTTTCTTGTTTTAACTTTTTATTGTGGAAAATGTAAAGCATATACAAAAGTAGACTGAACAGTAATATACATATTACTCAATCTAAACATTACCAATGCTTGGTCAATTTTGTTTCATCTCTACCTCCTATCTACTTCTCCACCTCCTGTATTATTTTGAAATATAGTCCAGTTATATCTATAATAAACCCATTGCTTTTGAGTCAGTTCAAACTTTAGTGATCCTATAGGACAGAGTAGAACTGTCCCGTGGGATTTCCAAGGCTGTAATCTTTCTACTGGGGAGTGGCTGGTCGATTCGAACTGCCAACCTTTCAGTTAGTAGCCAAGAGCTTAATCACTGCACCATCTGAGCTCCTGTATACGTATAATTAAAAGAAAAACCAAACTCACTGCCATCAAGTTGATTCTGACTGATAGTGACCCCATTGGGTTTCTGAGGCAGTACATCTTTACAGAAATAAATCTCTACGGCCATCTTCCTTTTGTGGAGTGGCTGGTTTGTTTGAACCGTGAGCCTTCTAGTTAGCAGTCACATGCCTTAGACACAATGCCATCAGAGTTCCTTATATGTATTGTTGTTGTTGTTGTTATGTGCCGTCGAGTCGGCCCCGACTCATAGCGACCCCTCCTTGGGTTTCCGAGGCAGTATCACTACGGAAGTAGGATTGCCCAACCTTCCTTCCGAGGAGTGGCCGGTGGGTTTGAACCGCCAGCCTTCTGGTTAGCAGTCAAGTATAGTATAACTTAAAAGAAAAGTATATATCAGTGTATATATATGTATATATGTGTATATGTATGTGTGTATATGTATGTGTATATATATAAGTATGGGAGCTCTGGTGACATAGTGCCTATGTGACTGCTAACCAGAAGGCTGGTGGTTCAAACCCACCAGCCACTCCTAGGAAGAAAGGTTGAGCAATCTACTTCTGTAGTGATACTGCCTTGGAAACCCAAGGAGGGGTCGCTATGACTCAGATCCTACTCCACGACAGTGAGTTTGGCTTGGTTTGGTATATATAACTATATATATACACATATGGGGAGCTCTGGTAGTGTAGTGCCTAAGGCATTTGACTGCTAACCAGAAGGCTGGTGGTTCAAACCCACTAGCCACTCCTCTGAAGGAAGGTTGGGCAATCTGCTTCCATAATGATACTGCCTTGGAAACACAAGAAGGGGTTGCTATGAGTCGGATCTGACTAGATGGCAGTGAGTTTGCTTTGGTTCTTATGTACACATATAATATGTTATCATACTTACAAAGAATTCTTGTTGTTGTGGTTGTTATGTGCCGTCAAGTCGGCCCCGACTCATAGCGACCCCTCCTTGGGTTGCAGAGGCAGTATTACTACAGAAGTAGATTGCCCAAACTTCCTTCCAAGGAGTGCTGGTGGGTTTGAACTGCCAGCCTTCTGGTTAGCAGTCAAGTGCCTCAGGCTCTATGCTGCCAGAGCTCCTGAAGAATTCTTAGTGTCATAAAATATTAAATATTAAAACATTAAATTTCCAATTGTATCATAAGTGTCCTACTTTTTTTTTTCTTCCAATTTTGTTTGACTCCTAATAAGGGTCCAAAATAAGGCCCCTGTCTACAAATGCCCAACTTTTAGATTGCCCTCCTCATTCATGATCTCTCTTTTCTTTTATCCAGTTTCACCTAATGACCATTTCCTTGCCATCACCCTTGACTCTATCCCTTTTCCCTTCCTATTTGTCTGGCAAACCCTACTCTATTTAAATATAATTATATGCTTAATCTGTGACTGGCCAAACCCTATTCTGGTTAAATACATTTATATGCTTAATCTATGCCCACATCAGAGCAGCTAAACTTCCTAGAGGAAAATTATACAGCATATGGAATAGACTTATTTTCTGTGATTGCAGATATTAAGTATTCACTCAACCTTGCTACACAGTCCAATTATAATTCTCTAGTAAATTCACATTTTTCTCTTTGAAAGCATTGTTTGCTATTGTATTTTCCAGAAGTCACGAACAGGAAAAAACCCCCAAAATCCAAACCAAAATCAGCTAACCAACCAAACAAATAGAAAAATAAAACAGAAAGAAAAATACTTCACAAAAGCTGCTTGGCTATTCCTCAATAATGGTCTCACTTTATAGAGAAAAAAGATGTAAACAGATGTGAGCTGTCTACCAGCAAATACATCATGTTATCTCCATCTCTACTCAGTGTGTTTCCATCCTTCATGGTATTGTGGAAGACTGACTTTGGTCCCATCTATGACTAACCCCATCATTTATGCATTGGATCCTATGTATTCTGCCCATTTCAAGAACCTTGCTCCTGTAATATTACTTCCTGCAATTATCCTTTCTTCTGTATCATCTGTATCTACTAAATTATTACTGCTGGCATATAATCATGCCTCAGTACAATGATCTGCAGAAGAAAAAAATCTATCCTGACCCCCTATTCCCTTTAAGTCTTTTGAGTACCTAATTTCTATCTCCCTTAAAAGTAAAATTATGTAAAATATTGTCTATAGTTGGTATCTCTACTTTTTTCCCCTCTGGTTGTTTGTCAACCTACTCTCTAGGTTTTGTTCCCACCTTTTTACTGCAGTGGCTCATTTCAAGTCACTAATCATCTGTGTCTTGTCAAAGCCCTTAGTCATTTCTCTGTCCTCATCCATTTGGTGTCTTCACAGCATTTGATGATTTGAATTATCCACTCTTTGTTGAAACATTTTTATCTTTAAGTTTCTTTGGCAATACTTCATTGGCTATTTCTTTCTCAGTTTTTATGCTTGCTACTCTTCTGCTAAAATTTTACCCATGGCTGTCTTCTCTTTGAAATAATTTGTCTAGGTTCATGCTGTCCAAAAGATCCTTTTATGTTGAAAATACTCTATATCCATGATGTCCAAAATGGTATCTGCTAGCCATGTGTGGCTTTTGAGCACTTGAAATGTAGCTAGTATGACTAAGTAACTGGATTTTAAGTTTTGTTTAATTTTGTTGTTGTTATGTGCCATTGAGTCGGCCCTGACCCCTAGTGACCCCTCCTTGGGTTCCCGAGGCAGTATCACTAAGGAAGTAGATTGCCCAACCTTCTTTCTGAGGAGGGGCTGGTGAGTTTGAACTGCCAGCCTTCTGGTTAGCAGTCAAGTGCCTTAGGCACTATGCTACCAGAGCTCCTTGTTTAATTTGAATTACTTTAAATTTAAATAGCCCATGTGGCTAGTGCCTACTTTATTGGGTAGTGCATATTTTGGTGATTTTATCCACTCTCATAGATTTAAATATTATACATTTGTTGATGAGTACCACATCTAATTTTTAGTCCAGATCCTTCCCTGGAGCTCCAGATTTGTATTCTCAACTGTGTGATTAGCTCTTTTACTTTGGGACCCAGTAGGCATCTCATGACCAAAACAGAATTATGATTTCTTCTCTCCTTTTCTCCCACTCCTTCATATCTCTTCCTACTTGTGGGTTCCCTAGCTCAGTAAATAGTTACACTAGCAACTAGTTGTTGAGAGCAAAAACCTGGAGGTTATTATTGGTTCTTCTCATTCAGTCAGTTTACCAGCAAATCCTGTCATCTTCACTTTGTTACCAAAACAAAACCAAACACATTGCAGTAGAGTTGTATCTGAGTCATAGCGACCCCTCCTTGGGTTTCTGAGGTGGTATTGCTACAGAAGTAGATTGCCCAACCTTCCTTCCAAGGAGTGGCTGATAGGTTTGAACTGCCAGCCTTCTGGTTAGCAGTCAAATGCCTTGAGCACTATGCCACTTTCCTTAGTGGTTATTGTTTATTTGAGAAGTCAGTTCTGGGCTTGAAGTGAGTGAAGAATTAGCTTGCAAAAACGTCTTTGTATAACAATTACGGGCAAGAATATTTTAAAAGAAGTTGAGAAAAGTTATTCAATACAACCGGAAATGGAATCTGTTAAGATGCATTTCAACTAAAAATGATAAAGATATGTGTGAAGCAGAATCTTCACTTGCCCTTCCACACAGCAGTTTGATGGGTTAGCAGAGGTAACATTTTGTTGTGATATCTTGAGCCCAAAGTCCAGCTTGAAATTTTTTGGAGTGACAAGACCCCTTCTGGCATTATGATTGAATACTGAATGGGTTTTTTACTTTTTTTTGCTATAGGCCTGCTAATGTTTCTTAATACATTTAACTAAAATTGCAAGGCAAAACAGTGCTTATATGTAAAACTTACACTGCAATAAAGTCATTTAGAAAGTAACTGTTTGAATCACAAGAAACTACAAAAAGTAATTTAAAAAAGTGCTGTGAAAAGTTAAAACAAGAAGCAAGGTCTCCATTTCTATACAACATTTGAGCTCAAACTATAGTCCCAGCAGCTTTTTTTTTTTTTTTGCAAAGGAAGTTTCTGTATTTCAAAATTCATTTAACTGTGCAATCGAGGAGCTGCTATTAATCTTCTACTCAGAGTGACTGATTTGCAATGTGATGACATGTTCAAAGGCAAATATCAAGAATATAATTCTGTAAATGCCTTCTAGGCAATGACTACACTCAATTATAATCATGTACTTATGGATTGATATTAATATTTGGCAGTGCCTGCCTGTGTGAAAAGGAGCTCTGGTGGCATACTGCTTAAAGCATTTAGCTGCTAACCAAAAGTTCGGCTGTTCGAACCCACCAGCTGTTCTGTAAGAAAAAGATGAGGCAATCTGCTTCTGTAAGGATTTACAGCCTTGGAAACCCTAGGGTACAGTTCTGCTCTGTCCTGTAGGGTTGCAATGGCTCGGAATTGACTTGATGGCAGTGAGGGTTTTTTTTTTTTTTGACAAGTCTGCATGAAAGACATTTTCAGAGATCAAATGTGTAAAATCTCGTTACAGATCAGTATTAACAGATTAAGGTTTGTAATCTATTTGATGATCCCCAAACTCAAACCAAACCCATTGCTGTATAGTTGATTCAGACTTCTAGTTACCTAGTAGGACAGAGAAGAACTGCCCTAAGTTCCAAGGCTGTAAATCTTTAAGGAAACAGACTGCCATATCTTTCTCCTGTGGAATGGTTGGTAGATTTGAAATCCTGACTTTTTTGGTTAGCAGCTGAGTGTAAAACCACTGCATCACCAGGTCTCCCAGTCTATTTGATGATAAGGAACACTGACTTTGAACCTTAGGTAACCACAATGGTATCTTCCCCCCCCAAAAAATTCCACTCTTTTCATTGGTAGACCACTATTTTACAAAACATCAAACTCAATTAGTATTATTATAATAATTGAATTTTATCTATAAAGATTTGTGGAAATTTTTTCTCCATTTTATATGCATCTATGTGATATCTTTGATCTTGTTTATTGACCCCTAAAGCCTAAAATATTTATTATGTAGCTTTTTACAGAAAAAGTTTGCTGACCCTTGGATTAAAGGATAGATGCTTCGCTTGGTCTTATCTAACTAAAGATGACTGTTTTAAGATATTAGCAGATTTTTTCACCCTTTGATAGCATATGAAAGATAACTTGTATTTTGAAAAAAATGTTTTACAGTAAAATATTTTTTATGAGTGTTGTATTTCTTTGGATTTTTACATAAATAATACACTTTGAATGGAGTATTCAGATACTTGCTACTATAGTAGTTTAATAAATATTGTTGTTGTTGTTATGTGCTGTCGAGTGGACCTGACTCATAGCGACCCCTCCTTGGGTTTCCAAGGCAGTATCATTACGGAAGTAGATTGCCCAAACTTCCTTCCGAGGAGTGGCTGGTGGGTTTGAACCGCCAGCCTTCTGGTTAGCAGTCAAGTGTCTTAGGCACTACTCTACCAGAGCTCCTTTAATAAATATAGAATAATCTTATTTATAAATTCAATTAAGAATAAAAAATTAAGAATAATTATTTAAATTCCATTTGATATAAATGTGTATATCAACTCATAACTCTCTTTTCCAGGTATAATAGTATTCCTATTTGCATTAGTTTAATATTTCAAGAGAAAAACTAGAAACTTAAAGTAAGTTTGTAAAGCAGATTGGCATTCATAAATGATATCCTTTGAAAATATTCTTCATGTCTGACCATGCAAAACTGAATAAACAGATAACTCTTAGCAGTGTTTGCTTTTGAAGACTTACTTGTATGCCATTCCTTTCCAAGGCCTTCCTCAAGCTGTAATGCTTTGCATTTTAAAAAAGTTTTATTTGTTAGTGTTCAGTATCTTGAAGTTTGACTAACTTTATAAAAGGTATTACATACTTCTTCGCTTTACCTAAAAAAACCCCATCATTTTTATTACCAATCTATAAAAAGAGATTTAGTATTAATTTTGTAAATTAATATGAATGAGTGTTAAAAGAAAGTAGAAATAATACAAAGCAGTGTTTTTGAAAATATTTAAAAGTACATGTATATCTTTTCAAATTTGGAAAGATGACTTATATAAAGTGCATTTTTTTACCTAAATGCATACAGGCAAAAATACAAAATTTATGTTGATAAAAATTGAGACAATTTTTGCTTTCACACATTAGTTAAATTTAGAAAAATCCTAAGATTAAAAAGTTTTCTTGCAGCTGCTTAATATGTAGCATTTGGCATATTTTTTTCCTATATATAATGTCTTAATTTCTGATTGATCTTTGATTTAAATTTTGTTTTCTAGATGAAGCACTGGATGATTTAAAATCCCAGAAGAAAAAAATAGTAAGTTAACTTTTATTTAAAGTTCATTTGTATAAAACTAATAAGTTAAGAACTGAATAATGAATATTTATATGTTGTAAGTTAATGACTCTGAGGAAAAAGTGTGCTTTTAGATAGCATTTTAATGATGAGGTGAAATTATGAATGTTTTTGCTAGCTTATAACAATTGACAGGAAAAAGTAGTTTAGATGGACTTTTGAGATTCTGAGGAGCTATGCCAGTTAGAAGCTGAGAAGTAAATAGATGAATTGTATCAGAGGGTTAAATGAGACAGAGAAGGTAAAAAGGTAAGTGCCCAGATTGAATATCAGAGCCAAAAAAGGACCGAACATTTAGGTAAGTCAGTTCTCAGTTTTTATTGACACCATAAGGCCAAGAGGGAGGAATCAAAAAGATTGGTTATAAAGATAAATTCAGGGCTGAAGAAAGAGAGTAGAGAGAGGCCCCCCCCATGTCTTCCACTGTCTATCAGCAACCTTGAACATATGAATATCTATTGTGGGGCCAGTTAAATACATTCTTTGAATATGTAGGAGAGGGCCAAGAGCAAGAAAAGAAGGGCCTAGACTATATAGTGGTCTTTAATCAACGAATGAACTTGGTTTTTGATTTGTATTAACTTGTGATTTTTTTAATGGGGTTGTTTTGGAAGTGTGAAAAATAGTAGTTACTTGAAAGTATGTAGTAACTCATTTAATGAAATTTAATGAACTGCCTAACATGTAACAAGTAACAACTGTGTTTGAAATGAATAAAATTTATGAAGGTTAAGATTAGTATTAAAGATTTTTTTGTGAATTGTTCTATAAAGGACCTTGATCTTGAGGGTTTAAGTTCCTGAAAAGTAAAGAAACTTTAATTCTTGAAGGATTTCTTACCTTTTGGATGCTTATTCAGTGTTTTGTGAGGTATTTTATGATATTGCGTTGTCAATTTTGATAGACCCAAATTGAAACATAGCCATATGCCCATTATATCATTTTTGTGTTTTTGGCTTTCTGTACATTATAGAACAGTCAGAAATTCATACTTAATGTCCTCAGTGATATAGAAGTTGTGTGTGTGTGTGTCAAAAATTGTGATATGACTGGTTTGGTTTGTTGATGAGAGAAAAGGAAGGAGCTAGTAATGATGATCAGAGCCAAGCCCTGCTTGGACCAAAGTGGAGAAGTAGTGATTAAAGTAAAAAAGATGAGGAGAACGACAAAAGAAAAAAAATAAAAAACAAAAGACTTTAAATGATGAAAAGCAGATCTAATACTGTTGGCATCATATAACCTGAAAACAGAATCTTGAAAAACTCTCAGTAGAGTAACAGAGGGGAGCTCTGGTAGCATAGTGGCTAAGGCACTTGACTGCTTACCAGAAGGCTGGCGGTTCAAATCCACCAGCCACTCCTCGGAAGGAAGATGGGGCAATCTACTTCCGTATGAGTCGGGTCCGACTTGACGGCACATAACAACACAACAACAACAGAGTAACAGAGTAGTCTTGGAAAATACTGTGAAAGGGGAAGCTAAGCTGTTTACTTCTTTAATAGCTCTCGAGTGGATCACAGTATAAAAGATGCTCCATCAAAGTGGACAGTTGGAAAATTCTGTTCAGGGTTCAATAGCTCTGTGTATCTAAATGGTTCATGAGACATCAATATTACTGAATAGTTCAGTATAGTGTTTCTTTTGTAATATGATTAAAGAAAAATAAGTTTACTATAACTCACTTAATTAATTAGGGAACACAATTTGCACTGACTTAACTGTTGGTTGAAATACTATTGCTACTGGGAGTTAGTCCCTTGTCTTTATTGCTCAAGTCCTTAACAGAGCTGCTTTGTTTGAGTAGCTTTATATTTTGTTTAAAGGAGCTTTGGTGGCATAGTGTCTAAGGCATTTGACTGCTAACCAGAAGGTTGGCAGTTCCAACTCACTCTGTGGAAGGAAGACTGGGCAATCTTATTTCCGTAAAGATTTACCACCTCAGAAACCCAAAGGGGGTTGCTATGAGTCAGAATCGACTTGATGGCAGTGAGTTTGGGTTTTTTTTTTTTTTTTGGTTTATACTTTGTTTAAAACAGTAAGTGTTAAGTATGAATTAATAAGGAGCAAAGTGCTAGCTAATAATTGTGCTGTTGTGTCCTGTTGAGTCATTTCTGACTTCGTAGTCGCCCTATAGGACAGATTAAAACTACCCCATAGGGTTACCAAAGCTGATTATCTGGTCTCTTCTCAAACATGCCCCTAGGGGGTTCAAACTGCAGACTTTTGGGTTAGTGGCCAAAAGCTTAACCATTACACCACCAGGGCTCCTTACTGTGCTGTTAGTGAGAGAGAATAGAAGGGTCATTACTTTTGAGCAAAAGCTAAATATAATCAAAACTGATTTTGTTCAGTGATGCTTAGGTCTAAACTTTATAGCTTTAAAAATACTTTTATTGTTGAAATACTTGCAGGAAAAATAATTTTAATTTTAACCTAAAATTATCCAACCCCTAACCCTGGTGGCACAATTGTTAAGCTCTCAGCTTCTATCTAAAAACTTCTGTTGTTCTAACTACTGCTACTCCATGGGAAAAGGCTGTGGCAATCTGTTTCTGTAAAGATTATTGTTGTTGTTAGGTGCTGTTCAGCTTGTTCCGACTCATAATAATCTCTGTACAACATAATGCAGCCCAGTCCTGTACCATCCTCACGGTCGGTGCTGTGGTTGAGCCTATGGTTGTGGCCACTGTTATCATTCCATCTTGTTGAAGGGCTTCGTCATTTTCACTGACCCTCTGATTTACAAAGCATGATGTTCTTCTCCAGGGACTAATCCCTCCTGATAACATGTCCAAAGTAAGTGAGATGAAGTCTTGTTTTGTTTGGTTCTAAGGAGCATTTTGGCTGTACTTCGAAGTACTTTTTTTTAAGTATAGTCAGAATGCGCTAAAGATTACAGCCTTGGAAACCCTATGGGGCAGTTCTATTGTGTCCTATAGGGTCACTATGTTTTGGAATCAATTTGATAGCAATGGGTAACCCTTCCATTTCATTAACAGAATTATTGTGTTATATTTATTACTTATTATGAGTGGTTTTTTAGGGATATGTCTCTTTAATTTGAATATTTATAATGTATTTTTGATTAATTTATGATGATAAACCTGAATCATCATTTGTTAAAAAGTTAAATAACTTAAGGTCCTTTCTTTGCTTAGAAAGGAACATGAGTAATATCTTAAGAGTGTTTTAAATCTTAGGAGCATAAAATAAACATTTGCTTATTAAATGATGCTAGGAATTGAATTAATCTTTGTTGTTGTTATGTGCCGTCGAGTCAAACCCGACTCATAGCGACCCCTCCTTGGGTTTCCGAGGCAGTATCACTACGGAAGTAGGATTGCCCAACCTTCCTTCTGAGGAGTGGCTGGTGGATTTAAACCACCAGCCGTCTGGTTAGCAGGCAAGTGTCTTAGCCACTATGCTACCAGAGCTCCCGAATTAATCTTTAGTTGTCTAAAAAATTCCCAAGTCTGGATGTGTACATTTTGCCACTCACAATGTATTTTAAAGACTATATAATTCTTTAAATAATTTTTTTTAATCACTGAGTAATTCGTGAAATTTGTTCCTGAGCAAGCATCCTATAAAAAAGGTTTAAAATCAAAATCCATCAAAATAGATGAGTCATTGTCTAAAAAATTCCCAAGTCTGGATGTGTACATTTTGCCACTCACAATGTATTTTAAAGACTATATAATTCTTTAAATAATTTTTTTTTAATCACTGAGTAATTTGTGAAATTTGTTCCTGAGCAAGCATCCTATAAAAAAGGTTCAAAATCAAAATCCATCAAAATAGATGAGTTAAAATGACTTCTTTAAGTCAGTCTTTAAATGCCATACTTTTTCCAGGATAGTGTTTGCATGTGGTAATTCTTTTCTGGCATTTCTTAGGAAATAGATGTTTTTCTGAATCCTGAGAAAGATCAGTTGCAAAACTGGGAAAATGAGAAAAAGTGTTAATGTTTTTCTGAGAACTAAAGCTCACCAATTAACTATAGATGTTAACTGGATTAAAGGAATCCATTAACGCCAACTGAAAGCAAGAGCAAGAAAGAAACACTGATAAGCTGAGCTGCAGGTTCTAGGAACAGTTCTAGGAGTGAGGTAGAACCATGTAGAAAAGTGGTCACAATCTGATCAGTCACTTTTGCTTTTGTGGCCATTTAACATGTGTTTTTCTGGCCTTATTTCATATTATTGTTAAGTCAGTCTTAACAATCAATGCAAATAATTAGATGCATAATATACTTTACACAAATTGTATGAATGATATTCTAAGGAATAATAAGTTTGGAAACAAAGGAAATCCTTAGATCGACAATTTTAGCATGTAATTCTGTTTAGGGCTGTTAACCTTAGCAGAACATCCAAATGTTAACATTTTTGTATTACCCTTAATATTTGCCTGTGTTTTCTGGTGTTTGAATATTCACGATGGGCTATGTTTGTTGTTGTTGTTATGTGCTATCGAGTCGGACCCGACTCATAGCGGGTTTCCGAGGCAGTATCACTACGAAAGTAGATTGCCCAACCTTCTTTCCGAGGAGTGGCTGGTGGGTTTGACCTGCCAGCCTCTGGTTAGCAGTCAAGTGCCTTAGGCACTATGCTACCAGAGCTCCTAAACCAAACTCACTGCTCTCGAGTTGGATCCTACTCATAGCGACCCCTCCTTGGGTTTCCGAGGCAGTATCACTATGGAAGTAGATTGCCCAACCTTCCTACCAAGGAGTGGCTGGTGGGTTTGAATCACCAGCCTTCTGGTTAGCAGTCACCTGCTTTAGGCACTACTCCAATAGGCTACGGATCCTTGTAAATACTTTAACCAAAGAAATGCATAGAGAAAAGAGGTTACTTACTGTGAAATACTCCTATATAAAATCAGAAAATGATTTAAAATCTGAAATAAAGAAATAAAAGCAATATGGGTTTCAACAGCAAAGCTGAAACCAAGCTAAG